TATCCAGTGTGTTTGGCTGAAATACATGTTACTTACTCAGTCCTAGCACAAAATCTTATTAGCACTGTCCTTATTTTCCAAGGCACTCTTTGTACTGAACATGCTTAAGTAGCAGTTCTGAAAAATGTTTTGTTGGGAAGAATCAGGCATAGCAAACTTTCCACTGAGCCTTCCCTTTGGTATCTCCCACTTTACTGGAACAGCTCCTGGAGCGGGATTTTTTCATTGCAGGTGTTCTAGAGCAATGCATCATTTTGTACCCATAGATTTTGGCACCTGCAGGGAAGGATGATTTTATTTCCTCAATCTTCTGTTGTGATGAACCACCACAGCAGCAGGAAATTGCTTGTAAGTTAATGGCATTGACTCCAATAGAAAAAAAAGTGTTTTTCACCACTGCAAACGTCAAGAGGATCAAAGGATTAGTCTTCTGCAATTTTTCTCTCCTACTGACACATTAGATTATAGGCAACTTTTTTTTTCCATCTCAACTCTTGATTTATCAAATGTCTTTTAAATGTGTAAAGTTAATTGAAATGCAACCAGTTAGAACTTTATTTTAATTAACCATCAGATATGGCAAGTGAATAGTTTTGACCTGGATTAGTAAATTTTCCAAAAATATTTGCAAGGTTTATTTAAATCATCACAGATCAGGCAAAATGTGCCAGATTCACAGCAGAATAGGTGCAGAATAGACAGCAGGAGTTCAAGTTTTCCTTGCTATGCTGAAAGCTTTTCTTCTGACTTGTGGAAGGGAGGAATTCCACAAGGCAGAAATAATTTTCTTTTATAATTTATTCTAGACTTAACCTCTGTGATTAAAAGAATAAGAGGATTGCCTTTTATGGGATGTGGGCTTATTTGATGTGGTGAATTATTTGCAATAGGATTGTGATTGCAAACTCATCTGACTCAGACAACCAGAGCAGTTATGATTCCACCTTTTGATCACTACGTATTACATGGGACCTATTCAAAACTATTTAGATTATCTAAAGCTCAAGAAATGATTTGACTGTGGTCTATAAAATATCTTTACAGAGAAAAAAAGTGCTAAGTACTAATCAAGTCTGATCTAGGAAAGAAAAGCTTAACAAGAACCAATGGTTGGACAAACCCAAATAGAAATAAGGCAAACAGTGTTAATTGTTAATGTGATTATTCATTGGAACAAACTGCCAAGTGAACGAATAGATTCTTCATCTCTTAAAGTTCCTATATTGAAATAGCTTTCTGGAAACTATGCTTTAGTCAACACAAGTTACTGGGCTCAGTATAAGAGAAACTGGATGAAATGTTATGACATTTATACAGATTAGACCGATAGTCTCTTCTAGCCTTAAATTCTATGAGAACAGTGACTTAGATGTGAAAAGCCTCTTAACTCAACTCTGACTCCTTTAGTTCCTTCCAAAATACCGCTCCATGCTGATAAAGCAATACCCAGTGCTCTTTGTCTTTCAGATTTTACCAGAAGAGGATGACTATGGGTTTGACATAGAAGAGAAGAACAAAGCAATTGTCGTGAAGTCGGTGCGGCGAGGATCTCTTGCTGAGGTGAGACCATCTAGCATTTATAAACATTTCCCTTTTGGTAGCAGGAAGAAGAAATTTCTTTGAAAAGGCACAGAAACATCCTTCATTGGCCTGTTTCATTTTAATGGCAGCTAAACGATGGCAAGTGTTGGTTCTTCTAGGTCCAGAACTCCAAACATCAGATAAGATAACAAACAACTGCTCTTAATCAGCTGGTATCGTGTTGATAACCAGGAAGTATTGTATTGGAGATTCTCCATTAATATAACCAGTTGACCAGTTCTTAATGCCTTTTCATTTCATCTGGGGCCAGAAAAAATACTTGGACAAGAGTTACCGAGGCTGGTACTGGAGGGGACAAAGGACAATGAGGACAAAGGACAAAGTGAAGAAGGAGGGCCACCAGGATTGAAGAGTAGTGAATTGAAGTCGGCAACCATGTTTAGATACTCTGCAGTGGAACTGCTGAGGAAGAAGCAGAGGAGAGGACATCTGCAGGCAGGAGGCTGAAGATGCAGGAGCTTAGAGAGCAGGAAAGTGCAAGGCCCCAAGAACAGGGGCTCCAGGACCACTGTACCAAGAGGAAAGAGAAGTGTGGTGGTGGTTAGTGACTCCCTTCTGTGGGAGACAGAGGCACCAATTTATCATCCAGTTTTGGGAGCCTGGGAGGTGTGCTGCCTGCATGAAGCCCAAATTCAAGACATCACAGAGTCTGCCAAGGCTCATCCATCCTTCAGACCCTTCCTGCTTGTCCACATAGGCACTAGCGCTACCGTCAAGAATGACACTGACCAAATCAGAGGAGATCACGAGGTTCTTGGCAGGAAGATTAAGGAGCTCGGAGCACAAGTGGTGTTCTCATTGATCTTCCATGAAAAGGAGGGGTCCAGGCAAAGGTCGTCATATCCTGGAAGTGAATGTGTGGCTGAGACAGTGGTGTTAATGTGAAGGCTTTGGCTTCATTGACAATGGGCAGATGTTCTTGGGAGGAGGGCTGCTATCAAGAGATGGGATCCATCAGATGAGAATGGGGAAGTGCATCTTTAGGCATCATCTGGCCAACCTAGTAAGGAGGGCTTTAAACTAGGTTTCATGCTGATCAAAACCCTCCAGCAACAGAGCATGCAGTCCAGAGGGGAAAGGACTCAAAGAAGCACCTCAGTTCTGGGAAAGGGCCAGAGAGCTACATGACTGCAACAAGTGGCACAAAAAGGAAGCGAGGTCAAAATGCAAAATACATCTGATGCATATATACAAATGTGAGAAGTATGGGAAATAGACAACATGAGTTGGAAGCTGCAGCCTGTGAAAAGAACTACGATCTAATTGGCATCACTGAGATCTGGTAGGACAGCTCTATGACTGGAATGTGAATGTCGAGGGTTTCACTGTTTCAGAAGAATGGTTGTTGTCTTGAGTGTCAAAAACACATACATACGTTTCAGGAGGAGGAAGACAGCAAAGCAGAATGCATTTGGCTGAAGATGAAAAATGAAAGACATGGCACTGTTATAATGGTGGGGATGTATTATAGGCCACCTAATCAGGAAGAGGAGGTGGATGATGCAATTTTCAAGCAGGTGACAAATCTATCCAAAAGCAGTGGGAGGATACTGATGGGAAGCTTCAATTTTCTGGACATCTGCTGGAAGAACAATGCAGCCAAACATAAAATGGCAAACCAGTTCCTAACTTGTGTGGAGGACAACTTTCTCTTCCAGAAAGTGGAGGATACAAGTAGAGGATCATCTGTCTTGGATCTTGTCATGGCCAAGAGGGAAGAAGTGGTACAGAATGTGAAGGTGATGGGTAACGTGGAGGAAGTGATCATGAGATGCTAGAATTCCAGATCCTGAGACAGGGAAACATGACGGCAAAATTAGGACAAAAAGGTGGATTTCATCCAACTCAAGGAGCCAATAGGCCTGGTGTCACGGGAGGATAAGACACCTCCTGGTGTCACGGGAAGGATCAAGGTGCCCAGGAGCGCTGGGAGCTTTTAAGGGTCACAGTATTGGAAGTCCAACAAGAAACTGTCACAACATGATAGAAGCACAAGAAGACTGGCAAGAGACCAATGTGGCTGGACATGGAGCTTCTAAAATGCCTCAAATGCAAAAGGAAAGCATAGGGGCAATGGAGGAATGGGAAGATCACCAGGATGCATACCAGGAAATAGCAGGAACCTGCAGGGACAAAGCCAGGAAGGGAAAGATAAAGAACGAGCTGCACCTGGCAAAGGAGGTTAAAGACAAGAAGTTCTATAAATATGTTGGCCAGAAACAAAGGACCAAGGAAGCTGTGGGTCCTCTGTTAACAAGCCAGGGGGGACTCCTAACCAAAGATACAAAGAAAGCAGAGCTACTCAACAGCTACTTTGCCTCAGCCTGCAGAAAAAAAATTAAGCTGCCAGACATCCAATAAGAATGATCTGCATAAGATAAAGGGGTGAGCTGAGAGAAAAGATAACAAAAGACGCAGGCAGCTTTTATTGGGTCTGAATTAATTCAAGTCAGCAGGGCTGGATGAGTGGATCCCAGGGTCATGAAGGAATTGGCAGAAGGGATCTCAGAACCCTTGGCAATGATCTCCATGAAGTCAGGGCAGGTACCAGAGGACTGGAGAAGGGCCAGTGTAGTGTCCCTCTTTAAAAAGGCAAGAAGGAGGACCTGGGAAGCTACTGACAGGTTAGCCTCACCTCAATACTTGGGAAGTTATTGGAGCATATCCTAAGGAAGGCCATTTGCAAGTGTCTGAAGGAGGAAAAAGGCTGATCACAAGCAGCCAGCGTGGATTTATGAAAAACAAATGGTGTTAAACAACCCTGATCTTCTTTGACGAAGTGACTACTTGAGTGGATGAGGGAATGCTGGAGATACAGCGTATCTGGACTTCACCGAGGCTTTTGACAAGGTCCCACATGACCTTCTCATAAACAAATTGGAAAAATGTGGGCTGGATAAAACTACTACAAGGTGGATAACTGGCTCGTTAGCCATAAGCAAAGGGTAATTCTTAATGGTTCCATGTCAGAATGGCAGGTTTCAAGTGGAGTCCCACAGGAGTCTGTCCTGGCCCTGGTGCTGTTCAATGTGTTTATTAATTTGGATGCTGCCATAGAAAGCTTCTTGAGCAAGTTTGTGGACAACATGAGACTGGGAAAGATTGTGAACACATTGGAGGATTTGAGCGCAATTCAGAAGGATCTCAGCAGATTGGAAAGTTGGGCTAGAGCTAACAGGATGAAGTTCAATGCAAACAAATGCAAGGTGCTACACCTCAGGAGGAATAATCAAAAACACAAATACAAAGTGTGAGATACCTGGCTGGATCATAGCTCTCCCGAAAACGACTTGGGAATCTTGGTAGACCACAGACTCAATGTGAGTCTGCAGTGTGATGCAGCCTCACAAAAGGCCAATGCGGTTTGGGGCTGCATCAATAGAAGCACTAGCTACAAGATACAGGAGGTGATAGTGCCTCTCGAATTGGCACTGGTTAGGCCTCTTCTGGACCCTCTCTAACTTATCCATGTCCTTTTTACAATGCAGAGCCCAGAACTGCACACACTACTCCAGATGAGGCCTAACCAGTGCAAAGACGATCAAGGGCTGGGAAAGCAAATCATATTAGGAGATGCTGAAGCAGCTGGCATGTGCAGCTTGCAGCAAAGGTGCTTAAATAAGGGACATGACAGCAGTTTTCAAAGGCTTGAAGGGCTGCTGGAAAGAAGACAGAAAGTACCTTTTATTTCTTGCTGCAAAGAGGAGGAAACAAACCAATGGCTTGAAGCTGCAGCAAAGTAAATTTATAGCGGATGCCTGGAAATACTCCTTCACTGTGAAAATAGTGAGGCATTGGAATAGACTGCCTAGGGAAGTTGTGGACTCTCCATCACTGGAGGTGTTCAAGAGGAGGTTGGGTAGGCACTGGTTGGGCGTGATCTAGGCGTTACTGTGCCTGTTTTCTACCGTGGCCATTTCCCATGGTTCTGGGCTTTGCTGGTTGTTATAATTTGATAAAACAACAGACAGTGCCTCTAACTCCTGTTGAAATCAGTGTGATGGGAACTTCAATACCTTTGAGAAACTGGATCTAAGTGACTTGCCCAGGGTCACACAGGAAGCTTGTGGCAGAAAAGTCAATTCCCAGACTAGCATTCTAGCCATTGGCTTGTCTTTCCTGTCTATCCTGCAGGTTGCTTGGCTATTCATTGCTTTTGCTCCTTGTGGTTCGGTAGAGACCAAGCAGATGCAAACAGAGGGAATAAGCAGATTGATTTAGACGCAATGAGAACCATGAATAGGAATTTTAAGTTACAAGTTTAATAGTATAATTAGACGACCTTTGTATTCTCCTTGTGGTAGTCAGACGCCAAGCCCGTGCTCCAGCTCTTGCTCAAAATCAACATCAATTGGCCAGAGACTTCATAAATGTAAACCTCTGCAGTAAACCATTGCCTGACAGATAATCCCTTCGTTCTCCCTTTGGCCAGCTGCCTACAGCACATCCTGCACTGAAAATCTGTTTGTGTTTTGAGACAACAGAAGCATATTTTTCTAAAGAATCTTTTTCTGGACCTTCCAAGACAAACTAGCTGTGACCAGCTGCCCGTTGTTTCAACTTGACCTTAAAATATTACTGCAGAAAGGAACCAAATCCAGATTTTTCTGAAATGGAGATCTGTCAGGTCAGCTCACCAAGATTTGAAGCTGAGAACTAAAGCCTAGCGTTACATTTCTGGGCTCTTTAATTACTTTTTGATATTACAAAGCTATGCAAGCATGTGGTCTTGTGCCAGCTCAGCAGCTGTAGGCCATTTTGAAATCCCCTGCCTGCTTTCACACTTCCCAAGGAAAAAAAAAGCAGGGAACTTTGTTTTATAGTGCCCAAACATAGTGCACTGAATTTCAGATGGGCTGTCAGTCTTCAATCCAGATTAGGATTTCAGAGACTCTGAGGATTGGGTGACTCCAGTAACTTTAGTGGAATTACTTTAGATTAATACAACTGAAAAGTAT